AGTGAAGCTTCTTAGTATCTTTGTCAAAGATGAAGTAGCTGTGTGTGCTTGGAATTGTTTCTGCATCTTCTCCTCTGTTCCATTGATCCTCAAGTCTGCTTTTGTTTGCTAGTTTGTTTTGTTTTGGGTATATTTCTTTCAGCCAGTACCATGAGTTTTTTAATCACTGGAAAAAGAATAGCTAAAACTCCTGATGAGCTAATATAGGCAAAACTTTATATGTAAAAAACTTTGATTGCACAGGCAATATTACAAAGAATCAACAAAAAGGATCATACTAAATTTAAAAACTTTTGCACAGCAAAAGAAACCACAAGTGGAAGAAAGTGACAAATCATAACATGAGAAAGTTTTAACAGCTATTCCTCAGACAAAAGACTAATATTTAAGGAACAAAAAGGAACATTTAAGGAACAAAAAAATTCAGATACTCCAAACTTAAAGAAAATGGACATCTGAAATAAACAGACATTTGTCAGATGAAGAAGTATAACCAGCAAATAAATATATGAAAAAATTCTCATAATAACTAGTCATTCAAGAAATGCAAGTTAAAACAGCACCGAGAATATATCTCCTCTAGAAAGTAAGGCTGTCTTCAAGCAATTAGTCAGTGACACATTCTGGCAAGGCTGTGGAAAAGGAATGCTTCTCCATTGTTGGTGGCAGTTTCATTTGGTAAAACCACTATGGAAATCAATGTGCAGATTCCTCAAAAGCTGAAATTGGAGGCTTCATTTGAGCCCGCTATTACCCTTCTTGTTATCTTCTCAAATGTGCCAAAAGCATCATATCACTGCGATCTATGAACACTTGTGTTTGAGGTAGCATAATTTGTAATAGCTGAATCTTACAAACAGTCTGGATGCTCATAAACCAATGAATGGTTTAAAAATATGTTTTTTTTTTTTTTTTATCGGTACAGGGGATCGAACTCACGACTGCCTGCTTGCAAGGCAGGCACTTATGCTGCTGAGCTAAATCCCTAGCCCCCAAAATATGTTTTTATATACACTGCAGCACTACTCTATTATAAAGAAGAATGTACTTGAGACATTTTTAGTGGAATTGATACACCTCGAGACCATACTTGTATGTGAAATAAAACATACACACGTTTAAATACCTCATTGTTTATCTTAAGTAAGAAACCCAGAGCAAATAAGCAGACAGAAGATACATAACAGGAAATAGGAAGTTCATGTTCAAAAGAGACAGGAGAAAAGGAGGAGAAGGGAGGGAAAGAAAAGGATTAAAAAAGTAGAATGAAAGGAAAAATAGAAACAAAGCTTTTGTAAATTGGAAGGAGCTAAACAGTTGAAGGGAGAAGAGTGCAATGGGAAAAAAAGAAGAATCAGAATATTTTATGTACAGGTACCAATTCCTCATGATGCATGGCTCATTATGTATAGTAAGCATGTACAAATAACCATAAATTTTAAAAAGCAGAAAAAGTGAATCTATCACTATGTCTCTCTATGCTGGGCTGAGATTCAAACCCAGGTCCTAAGACACACTAGGCAATAGCAATGAGTGCATACAAGGATCCTAATTAATTAATTAATTAATTATTAATTGATGTTTCATATATGTCATTTTTCATATTTCTGGCTTCCTTCTTTTATTGTGGTACAGGGATTTAATCTCTGATTTTCAAATACACAAAAATTACAAAACATCTAATGGTAGACGAAATCCTTGTAGCTCTGTGTGCTAATCTATACCTCAACTCCAAATCAGAATCACCTAATTTTAAATGAAGCTAACTTCATAAAACAGGAAATCTAAATCTTGGGTCTACCAGGTATTAGCCAAATGGTACTAGGTAAATTGTATAATTTCTATGCCTCAGTTTCCTAGGTAAATTGTATAAAGTTCTATGCCTCAGTATCCTAAAGTGTAATACAGAGATAAAGATGATAACTTGGTCAAGAGCTAGATGATATAGGTTATTCAAAATGCTGTGTACAAAGTAGTATTTATTTACAAATATTAGCTTTTATTACTATTTTCTACGGTTACATACATAATATAGAAACATGTCTTTAATTTACAGACCCAGGCCAAAAACATCTATCATTAAATAACAAATATCATGGACAAAAAATATTGCCCGTAAGATGAGAGGTAGAAAAATGGTTAGAATTTAAGAAGAAGTGTTATGCTTTCCTTATTTTTAATATCAGATTGTCAAAATTACTTTTCGAAGTGTGTGGAAATTTTTTTTTTCACAAGAGCTACTTCAATATCATTTAAAGTAAAAGCAAAATATAGGAAAATTTGTTATTATTTAAGCAATTAAATTAGGATATCATATGGATAGCATGAGAGGTTATATATGTAGACTTCATTTTAAGACACAAATGCATGCAGTGTTAAAATTCACTGTAGCGAAAAATAAAAAAGGAGATGTTACATATTATCATAACCAGAAATGTAAAGCTAGCTGAAAGCTCAATCAAGGACAAGAATATCATTGAACAGGACTGGGGTCATAAAAGCATGTTCATTTATTTTTTTTCATTTCCTCACACTTTTAATATATTGATTTTTCAAAAGTGTATGTACTGTGGCAATAAAATAATAAATTACATAAATTAGGAAGATAATTTAACCTCAATTTTCAAATTATAGGAACTTTTTCTGCACTTTTCTTTTTTGTTTGTTTTGTTTGTTTGTTGTGGGTACTGGGAATTGAACTAGGGATCTTGTGCTTCCCAGGCTGGCGCTGCTCCATTGAGCTATATTCCTAGCCCTATCTGCCCTTTTATTAACCAGTTATGATTGGGTTTTTCTATAAAAATTCAATCTGGCTTCTTTCCAGATGCACTGCCCTGGATTTTATGTTTTAACACAAAACTTAATTTCCAAGGCCCTTTGTAAGTCTCTGTGCTCTATATTAAGCACATGCCTTTGTTCCATATAGCTTAGTCACTCAATTATCAAAATCAGGACACCTCATGACATTCCTAAGCTTACCAATGACAATCACTTTGGAACAGAAAGTTCAACCATTTTTTTCCCTTTAGATAAACAATATGAACATCTGCCAAGAGAAACAGATGATTCATGAAAGAGCATTAAACAATTGTGGAGAATCTCTTGAAAAGTAACCATGTAACGTATAAAGCAACAGTTACTGATGATTCATTCAGTACAACACAACAGATATATAAATGAAGATGTTTTGAGAAAAAAAAAGAGTGGGTCAGGGATAGGGCAGTCTGGATATGTTTACTGTATCATCTGCAAATATATTCAGTAATCATAAAACAGAATATTAACAAATATAGTGTGTTCCCATGCTTGCAGGATTCAAGCCTTCCACTTGAAGAGAAAATGTTAAACAGCCAACAAGGACTGATCCTCAATATTCTTGTTCATCTGCAAATGTGTACATGAAGAGCAAGATCAATATTTTCTCAGACCCTTGCTGAGAAGCATGTGGCTGCATAAATGAGTCCTGACTTCTAATACAGAATACACGTTTCTGTTCCATCTTACTTGCCTATATTGAAGCTGCGGCAACTTTGTCTTCTATCCTGAAAAACAATTTTGTTGACACTGCTTAAACTGCTGATAGCATGTGAGTCTACCTCCTTTCTGACATCAGGTTGCTGTGGCACTCAGAACCCGTTTGGGTGTGGTTAATTAAACCAAACTGGAGCATGACTCCTAACAAAGACGATATTTAGAGTGCATTTCTCCTTGTTTTGAGGTCTACCCTGATGAAAATTCGTACTCTGATTTTTTTTAGAAGCCAGATGGATATAGGAAATCATAGCTGCCTCAAAGAAAAAAATTAAAAAAGGACAAGTCAAAGTGAGAAGAGCTCTGAATATCAAAGAAGAGGCACTCCTCTGGTATTTTCAACTCTTTTTATTTAGAGAATAAAGCAAAACACAAAAAAGGGTAGAAATAATACAAGATTTCACAAAAAATTACACTAAGAAATGCCTAGTTGATAAATTCATTTTCAACTCTTAATTCAGGAAGGCCTTTAATTGACCTGGGCTGGGCAAATGAGATAAAGCAATAATGAAACTAAAGTTGATATCTCTTAGAACAAATACAGTAGCATACATATGCACATATACATACACACATGTACACATGTATGCATATATCACATATATATGGTGCAGTATATTTGGCATGGTATTATATATATTGTGTATATATATATATGCATCATAAATTGCACATCATATATTATATTTAGATACAATATTTTTGCTTTTTCTTTGAGGTTTTATTTCATGTATTGCATTCATTATACAAGAAAAGGAAACAACTATTTTTCCCCTTAGGATATGTAATCTTAGGAAAATATGTCTCATGGAATGTAGTTAAAAATATTTGATTCTTTATGAAGACCCATGGTATAATTTTCCCTTACTTTATAGCAATTGCTTTGCTGTTCCAGAGCAACTATTTGTTTTGCTATTCTGGGCACTAAGTCACACAATTGATTGTGTTTTTCTCTTTTCCCTGGTTACTAAGATACTAGAGACTCTTTTAACCCTGAAACAAAATAAAATATACAGGAACTAATAGTAATTGCTATCTAAATCCATATAACATAAAACAAATATTTCTCTTTATTATTTATCTAATGATGACAATTAATTTTACCACAATTATGAGCATAAAACTCAGAACCAATTTTTAGGTTCATGCAGACATTTTGTTTGTACAAAAAGACCAACCTCAATTTCAAGAAAGTTAGAATAAAGCCTGGAAGTTCTAGAGTCTCAATATCAAATATTTTGATCATATCCCTCCATTATAACCAATTTCATGCTCCACTAAATTTAACATTCAAGAACTAAATGATGCATCATATAAACAGTGGGAGAATATTCTTAATAAGTCAATTCCACTGAATGGTTAGATCAATATAGTCAACATATATAATGTGGGGCAATGATCTGGAATTATAATACTGGTAGATAAACTAATACTTACAAAATTATGCAACATCTCAGGGGCATACTTACCTATGACTATGAATGAGAGCATTCAACGCCAGGCCATCAGACCAGCTGGTGGTAAAGTTGATAACATTAACTTGTGGATAATTACGAGTTGATTGTCGGACCCAGCTCAAGAGAATCTTTTCACTGTTGGTTTGTTGCAATCCAGCCATGATATTTTTCATTACATTTTTTACCTATATATGGTAAAGATATGTTTATAAGAAACACATTCCTTGAGGAACTCTACAATATTCAATGTGAATCTCCTTAACTTTTAGTGATAAATCATGACAACTGTAGAGCAAATTTGGAATGAGAAGTAATAGGTTTTACCCAGACTGAACCTCTGTAACTGGTAAAGAATTTCACAGGTTGGAGCATGTCTCATATGATTTATTAAATTTGTTCATTATTAGTTCTGAATTCAACCATACAACAAATTTACTGTTTTAGAAACTGTTCATCTTCTAGTTTTCAATGGATAGGTTGTAGAAGAGGTGGCACAAAACATTAGACTTACTGTTAATCAATAACAAGATCAATCAGTGATATTTTATATAGGAAGAAGAGTACAATAGACAAAAATACTTTTTTAACTTTAGGCTCAAATATTTCTTTGCTTGTAACTAATTGTGTTAATTGGTCATCTTAATCATTTTAGGTGTCAGTTATCTACGCAAACAAAATTGTTTGGAAAATTAAAAATTAAAAATTGTTAAACAAAGAAAAACTTTAGTTCTGTACTATAATATATTTCAAATTACGCTTGTCAACAAAAAAAAGAATACAGAAAACTTTCCAGTTTAAACATTTAGATCAACAAAAATTTAATAAAATAAAGCAAATAATTATTTATACCTAAGAGCTGTAGATATGTGGGGTTGACTTTATATTAATTAGCAGAATTCAGTACATTTGATCCTCTTCTAGGACATGTGGATGTGCAAATGCTATTCAGCTGATTATTGTATTTCAAAGCTGCATTTTTCTGAAGAAACATTTACAGAAATCCATTCTAGGCATTTTTTTCTGAATCTGAAGAATACATTGACACCTTGTTGTAGAACATGCTATCTGCATGTTCTATTAAGGGGATATTTATGAGAAACCTGATGGAAATATATAAGTAAATGTGATTAGTTTTAATACTTGGACTTCCTTTGGGAAATGTAAAGTACTATCAAAATTTAATCAGATGATGAATAGTTGTTGTGAACTCTACATATGACATGCAGTTTGATTTTCATCCTTGTTCTTACAAGGATGAAATATACTTAAATATACTTGAGGTAAATAAATTTTGTTCTTTGTTTCTTTTCATGTGATTCAAACCTAGTGCCTTACAAATGCTTAGCAAATTCCCTACTATTGAGCTATACTCTCAACTCTGATTTAGAGTTCTTGGCATGTAAATTCATTTTTAAAATTACCTGTACTAATTCTGACCACACTTATTTCTGCTACTTTAATGATGAGTTGTCATTCCTTAATAAAGTGGTTTTTGTTCTCCTTTGTTTGCTTTTTTTTTTTTTTTTGTATTGAGATTAAACCCAGGGCCTTTGCACTGATCTGTGTCCCTATCAGTTTCTTTTTAACAAATTAAGTTTATTGTACTAGGGATATAAGTCAGTGACACAATGCCTGCGTGGTAAGTGCAAGGTTGTGAGTTTGACTCATGATTTAAAAAATAAGTTTATTGTTACCCTTGATATACATAATGATAACATTCATCTTTCCTCCTTATTTAGAAAAGCTATTTTAACATTTTTCTTTTTTATTCTCTTTTTAAATACCTTTCTTTTCCTTCTTTTCCACTTCCTCCCTTTCTTATTTCCTTTGCCACTTGATAATATTTTTTCTACTACCCAATATCTATCATTGATTTTGGTGTTTATTTATGTTTTGGCTTCTCATACAGAGAAAAAATGAGATATTGAAACATATTTTCACTTAAGAATATGGTTTCAGGATGCATCTATTTACCTGAAAATGTCTCAAGTTTATCCTTCTTTATGGCTAAGTAGCACAACACTATATAAACAACTCTACATGTTCTTCATCTGTTTTTCAATGATGAACATTTGAGCTGTTTCCAAGATTTAGCTGTTACAAATTGTGCTGCTATAAAAATGGGGTGTCCATTAATTGGTGTGCTATGATATTTTTCACTTTTGGGGGGATATTCCAAGAGGGGGAATATCTGACTCAAACAAAATCTTCAGTTTAAGCATTTTGAGGAATTTCCATACTACTTTCCATAGTGGTTGTACCGATTTAGAGTTCCACCAACAAAAGAGCAGAGTTCCTTTTCCACCACAGCCTTGCCAGCATGTGCCACTGATTAATGTCTTCAAGAAAGCCATCTTTCGGGAGTGAGATGAAATTTCAATGTTGCTTTAATTTGCATTTCTTGAAGGATCAGAGATGTTGAGCATATTTTCACATATGTATTTGGTGTTTTCCCTTCTTCATCTGAGAAATTTGTACTCCTTTTATATGCCCATTTTTCTATTAGGTCTTTAAATTTGTGTCATCAGATTTTTTTGAAGTTTTTGTGTGTTCTGGATATTAGTTTTTTGTGTGAGGAATAGCTGGTATTTTTTTTTCTCTTCAGTGGGCTATCTCTTTACACTGATTCTGGGTTATTTTGTTGTCCAAAAACTATTTAATGTGAAGATATAAAATTTATTCATTCTTGGTAATATCATATGTGTGATGAGATCTTTGCTCATGAAGTCTTTGCCTACAACTATGTCTTCAAGAGTTTTACCTATTTTATCTTCCAGCAGGATAAGTATTTCTGTTGTATTTAGATCTTTGTTCTAGTTTGATTTTATTTTAGTGCATGGTAAAATTCGTAGGTCTAAATTTAACTTCCAGAATGTGGAAAACTAGTTTTCTCAGCAGCATTATTAAAGTGGCAATCTTTCTTCCAATGAAGGTGTTTAGCCATTTGTTAAAGATAAGGTGACTGAGTATGGTGGCAGTTTTTCTACATCTTCCATTTTTTTACTGAGCCTAACATCAGTGTTTTTCCTTCTTTTCATTTTTGTCAGTAGTATACTGTTTTTATCATGACACTTTTTAGTACAATTTCAAGTTGGGGACTGTGATACTCCTTCACTTATCTTTGTTGACCAAAAGTGCTTTTGCCATTCTATGTCTCTTTCAGTTTCAATTAATTTCAGAATTTTTTTTCTCTAACTCTGTGAGCTAAGCTGTTGGGAGCTTAGCTCAGGATTGCATCAATTCAGTCTTGAAAATATGGCTATTTTCTCTATATTGGTTCTGCTTATCCAAAAAAGAAGAGATATGTTTTCCTTTTCTGATATCTTATTTGATTTCATTATTCACAGTACTGTAATTTTCAATGTAAAAGTCTTTTATGCTGTTTGTTAGATTGATTCACACGTATTTCATTTTTCTTGTTGTTATTATGAAATATATTACTTTACTAATTTTTTTCTTAGTGAGTTTTTTATTTATGTATAGAAATGTTATTAATTTTGGGATGTTGACTTTACCAGCTCTGCTATTGAATCTGGTTATTACACCTAACTCCATCATTTTTGGTGGAGTTTTTGAGATTTTCTATGTATCCATCACAAATATAGTTTAACTTCTTTCTTTCCTGTCCTTGTTACTTTTATTTCTTTCTCTTATTTAATTGCTCTAATATTTCTGGAACTATGTTGAAGTAGAGTGGTAACAATGGAATCCTTGTCTTCTTCCTAATTTTAGAATGAAAATTTTCTTTTGTACATTTAGTATGACGTTGGCTGTTGTTTGTCATATATGGTTTTCAACAGATTGAGATAAAGACTGCCTATTCCAATTTTCTATACTTTTTTTTTAATGAACAGGTGCTGAACTTTATCAGATGTTTTTTTCTGCATCTGTTAAGGTGCGCATGTGCTTTCTGTCTTGGCTTTGTTAGTATATTGTGTCACATTTATTGATTTATGTATGTTGAGCCATTCCAGCATCCCTGAGATGAATACTACTTGGTCAAGTTGTATAAAATTCTTGATGATTTGCTGCATTCTGCTTGCCAGTATCTTATTGAGAATGTTGTATCTATGTTCACTAGGAAGATTGGCCAGTAGTTCTTTTTGGGTGGATCCTTCTCTGGTTTTGGTATCATGGTATGCTTATTTCTAACTATGAATTTGGAAACATTGCTGCCCTTTCAATTTCATTAGTGTCTAAGGACTAGTAGCATTACATCTTCATTATATTTCTTTTAGAACTCAGCAGTGAATCTGTCAAGATGGGCTTTTTGTTGGTAGTTTTTAAATTTCTTTTTAAATTTCATTGATTATTTAAGATTTTTTTGTATCTTCTTGATTCAGTTTTGGTAATTTATATGTATCTAGCAATCTGTACATTATTTCTGCATTATCAACCTCATCAGCATACATTTTCTCAAAGTAGGTATGGTAATCTTTAGTTTCTGCAGAAATTGTGATTTTACCCTTTTAATTCCTAATTATATAGATTTGAGTCTTTACAAATTTTTTTGATGAATATGGCTAAGGATTTGTCTATTTTATTTATTTACTATTTCAAAGAACCAACTCCCCTACTCAGTGATTCTTGATATTTTTTCTTAATCTAAATTTCATTAATTTCTGCTTTGATCATTATAATTTGTATGAACTTTGGGCTCAACTTCATCTTCTTTTACTAGATACTTGAGATTCAACATTAAGTTATTTATTTGAGTCCATCTGTTTTTCTGATGTTCAAATTCACTGTATATATTTCCCTCCTATGACTGCTTTCATGATGTCCCATAAATGCAGTATTGTGAACTGGAATTATCCTTTAACTGTCAAAATTATTTATTTGATTTTATCTGTGACTTATTGTTTGTTCAGAAAAGTGTTATTCAGTTTTCATGTATTTACATAGATTTCATTTTCAATTGATTTCCACTGTTTGGTATTATGATTTGATAATATATACATGGAATAATTTCAATTCTTATGCATTTGCTAAAGAATGTTCTATGAACTATTATGCAGTCTATTTTGGAGAAAATCTAATTTTTTTCAAGAATCTGTACTCTTTTACAGGATAGAACACTCTAGATGTATATCCTAAGTCCATTTGTTCAAAGGATTTTTTCAGGTGTGTTATTACTTTGTTGATACATAGTGACTTATCCTTGTTATATTATTTTTCTGTTGGT